TATTAACCAGTTTTGCATCTATTAGCAAATTTATGTCCACATTCCTGACTATGTATATCTGTTTTTCAAATTCTCCTTTGGACCTACTTAATGGTTTACTGGTTCCCTCATTAATCAATGAGTTGAATAAAATCTTTGCTGTGTATTCGTTTTATATTTGCATGAGATATATTTTTAACCTTTTGACCTTAATTTATCAGGTTATTGGTTAAAACTGTGTCTATTCATGTTTTTACTTTTTTTTTTAACCTAAAACTTATGTCATATCTAATTGGCTGTGATTATTTTACAAGTACTTATGCATCAAGACCAGAGAGACTTTAATTGTTTACTGCTACTTTTTCTTATTTCATTCATTGGCACTCTAATACTGATTTCTTCTACATCAAGATTGAGCTGTGTCTTCCCTTAGATTTTAGAGAATGCTGATGGAGAATGATGTGAAGATGGTGTGTGTAGTTCTACTATTCAGGGATTATTTGGGCATTCAGCTACCCATTTCTGCCTCACTTTGCTTGGCAGAAGCTCTGATGGCACAGTGGTTAAGCATTCAGCTGCTAGCCAAAAGGTCATGAGTTTGAACCCCCCAGCCACTCTGCAGGAGAAAGATGTGGCAGTCTGCTTCCATAAAGATTACAGCCTCGGAAACCCTAGGAGACAGTTTTTTGGGGGTTTTTTTGCCTACGAATCTTTGCCTGCAGGGTATAGCTCATTGCCTTGGATATAAATGGGATGCATCTGCAACTGAAGGAAATAATGTTTCTGATTATTTAGGAGGTTTTGATGGTTAGGAAGTTATTCTATTACAGCATTTAAACTTCCTGGAAATAATTAGTTATAAAAATTAAAATGCCTCCCACGGCTGTAGGACCTTAAATAGAGACAGACAAGGGAGTGTTACCTCTTTTCTCTGTGCTTCTCTGTTATAGTTTCTCATAACTTCAGGCAGAACTGCCAGTTGGCTTTCATTATTCCACTTTTCACCTTAAAGCTCTTCAGCTAGTGGCCAACCCAGAAAACCAAGGCAGGGGGAGTCTTGTGCAGACCTAATTGCAACTGTCTTGGCATTTTTCTTACCAGACCAGAAAGCTTCTCCTCTGTTACCCTAGTTCTTGCTGATTATGCTTTGTGTGCATTTTTAAATGTCTCTTATTGCTATTCTGGTCACGTTGTACAAAGGAGCCTAAACGTTAGCTTTTAATTGGAAGAATATGCCTGCTAATGCAGCTTGAAAAACAGTCCTACTTCTTAAGAAAAGTTTGAGGCAGGGATTAGGCTAAATGATTTCAAGCTATAATCTATTTTTTTTGGAAAAAAATTGCAAATTTAGACTCATTTATAGCATAGAAAATACAGAACATGTTGTGCTTTGTTCTTAACCTACTGGATTGAAACATTTTCCACCTATACCCCCTTGTGGTACTGGATTTGTTGTATTACTTTACTACCTGTTGAGTATAAATATTATTATTTGGTTCTAGGCCCCCTCTTCAGATCTCAAATGCTCACTTACTCAAGAGTCCTTATAAGATTTGGTGAATAAATTCACTGTATCAGTATAAAATCTGCTCTGTGCCTTAAAATATTGGAGTTCCAATCATTCCTGGTTCCATTTCACAATGCTGAAAAGTTTAACATCATCTCTAGCCCTGGCAATCTCTCTGTGCTTCATCCTAATACTAGAATCCAGCCAACCCTCACCAGCTCTACCATCAACATAATAATCCAAGCCACCATCGTCTCTGGCTGGGACTTTTGCAATTGCAGTAATTTCTCACTGGTCTCCCTGATTATCACCTTTTCCTTTGTAGTCTATTCTTGATTCATCAGCCAGAATAACCCTTTTAAAATGTATGTCCGATCACGTTAGCCCTGCTCAGAACCCTCCTATGGCTCCCTGTCTCATTCAGAATGAAAGAGACTCTGCTTGATCTGGTTACTGCTACCCCTTGGACCTCATTTACCTACTCAGGGCCTTTGCATTTGGGATTCTTTCTGTTAATTGGCCCCGGGAAGGTCACATGCCTGCACTGAGCCTGTTTCTACTTCTCTGAAGAAGAATAAGAAAGTCTTTCTTGCCTCATCTACCTCATGAGGTAGCTGAGAGTCTCAGATATGTTCATCTGTTTTCACGGTTGGCTCTTGTTCTTGTTTTTCTGCTGACTTTGAACCAGTCCTTACATTGTTAGGAATGTTATTTTATGGGTTTTACTTGGGTAGGGTAGGGTAAGGAGAACCAGTAGACATTTTTCTTGTAGAGCACTGATGTTGTTAGCTGCTGTCAAGTTGGCCCCTGACTCATGATGACCCCGTGTGCAATGGAATGAAATGCTGCCTAGCCCTGCACCATCCACGTGATCAGTTACAGATCAGACCATTGTGATCCATAGTTTTCATTGGCTGATTTTCAGAAGTAGATCACCAGGCCTTTCCTCCTAGTCCATTTTAGTCTGGAAGGTTTGCTGAAATCAGCATCATAGTAACACGCAAGCCTCCACTGACAGGTGGTAGCTGCACTTGAGGTGGATTGGCCAGGAGTCAAACCTAGGTCTCCCATTTGGTAGACAGACACATACCTTCTGCTTCTTGTCCTGTTTGTGTTTTCTGTTCCAAAGTGTTGAGGCCTTTGTGTTAGTAAAATGGATGGTGGGGAAGGGAAGAGGAAGGAAAGAGATGAGTCTGGGAATTTCATTCTCCAGCTGGGGCCTTCTGCTGGTTTGCAGGCACCAAGTCGGATTGTCCTGTAGTGAGGAGCAGCGAAGGCTGGGACTGCTGGGGAGCTTCAGTGGCAGCTTAGTGAAAACCCAGCAGCTCTAGTATTTCCTGTTCTCTTGTTTCCAGGCAGAACTGTGGCCTCTGTCCAGGTCAAATCCCAGTACAAGAAATCCAAGTCTATTCTTCATTTGAACTGTATTATTATATAGACTGTTGGTTTCAAAAAACAGGGACACTAGCTAGAAATAAAATTTTGAAGTCTTAGCCTGACTTCTTATACCTTTCGACATTCTTAATGTTTACTAGCCTAATCCAAATAATGCGTTTCTTGTGACTTGTGCCTATTTATGCCAGTTGTTTGTAAAGTGTGGAGAAGTGGAGCTGGGAGTAACCAAATTAGAGTAAGGGAAGAGATGTTTGCCCATGTCTGTGTGTATTTGTATGACAAGTGTGGTAAAAGTGGAGATAGTACAGTAAGGAAAGGTAAACAGTGAAACTGGTTCTCCAAAAAAGACAGATCCTATTCAAGTTCATGGCTGTATCATATATCACAACTGGGCACTGTTGGATTATTTTGAATACTTATTTGTAGATGTATTTTCAGCTGCTTTAAGAGTTTGGCTGCTAACCAAAAAGTCAGCCGTTTAAAACCACCAGCTGCTCCTTGGAAACCCTATGGGCCAGTTCTACTCTGTCCTGTAGGGTTTCTATCAGTTGGACTCCACTCAGTGACAACGGGTTTTTTGGTTTGGCTTGGGTGACACAAATGATGTGCTCTCGACTACTAACCAAAAGGCTGGCGGTTTGAATCTACCCAGGGATGCCATGGAAGAAAGGTCTGGTGGTCTACTTCCATAAGATTACTATTAAAAACCCTATGGAACCCATGTGGGGTTGCCATGAGTTGGAACTGGCTCGATGGCAATGGGTAGATGTATTTTAATTTATTTATTTTTCTTTATTTTTTTAATTGTACTTTAGATGAAGGTTCACAGAGCAAACAAGTTGATCATTAAACGATTAATACACATAAATTGTTTTTTGACATTTGTTGCCAACCCCACGACGTGTCAACATTCTCTCGTTCTTGACCTTGGGTTCCCCATTACCAGCTTCCCTGTCCCCTCCTGCCTTCTTGTCCTTGCCCCTCGGCTGGTGTGCCTGTTTAGTCTTGTTTTGTTTTATGGGCCTGTCTAATCTTTGGCTGAAGGGTGAACCTCAGGAGTGACTTCATTACTGAGCTATAAGGGTGTCCAGGGACCATACTTGGGCTTTCTCCAGTCTTTGTTAGCCCAGTAAGTTTAGTCTTTTTTTTTTTTTTTTTTGTGAGTTAGAATTTTGTTCTACATTTTTCTCCAGCTCTGTCTGGGACCCTCTATTGGGATCCCTCTGAGTGGTCGGTGGTGGTAGCCAGGCACCATCTAGTTGTGCTAGACTCAGTCTGGTGGAGGCTGTGGTAGTTGTGGTCCATTAGTCCTTTGGACTAATCTTTCCTGTGTCTTTGGTTTTCTTCTTTCTCTCTTGCTTCAGATGGAGTGAGATCAGTGGAGTATCTTAGCTGCTCACAAGCTTTTAAGATCCCAGACGCTGCTCACCAAAGTGGAATGTAGAACATTTTCTTCATATACTATGTTATGCCAATTGAGCTAGATGTTCCCTGTGTAATTTAATTTTTTAAATTGGTATCCGGTGTCGTTGAGGAGTTGTATGTTGGTAAATTGATTTATTTAAGTTTCACAAGAAGTACACTTTTAACTTATGTTAAATTCTTTTGTAAGGAAATTCTTTATAAATTAGAATATAATTGTAAATTCATATTGCATTTGGAGTGGAGACTCATTCATTTATTGTTCTGCCTTATGTGGATACCCTATGGTCATCTTACTAGAGTAGGTCAAGCAAAAGGGTATGAGCGCAAGTTCTTCCCCACAAAACTTTTTCATGAGCCCCTGGAGAGTGGGAATGCTGAAAATGATGGAGATTAGCAGTCTTCCAATTGGTCTAATTTTTCATTTATTCACTGTGTGGTTTTGAATGCCACCAACTAATAAGTTTTAAACTAAGCACCCTCATACTTCAAGGACCAGTATCAGTAGGAAATAGAAGAGATCCATGTCTACTTGAGGCCTAGAAAATTGATTGGAAGTTCATGGTACATATTATAACAGATAATGTCTATTCAGTGAAAATATTTTTTATTTAAAAGATAAATACATCAGATAATTCACATCATTTATTTGTTCTTGAAACATTAAGGGTTAACTTCAATCTTCCTTTTTCTCTAGGCAAATAAAGGAGAGACTGAAGAACCAAGTCACTCAGATGAAGGAGCAAATACCTGGTTTCACACCAGGCCTAGCAATTTTACAGGTATTATGATGCTATATTTCCATTAGTGTCTGTTATAGATTGAATTATGTCTCCCGAAAATACGTGTTGTAAATCGTAACCTCTATGCCTGTGGTTATAATCCCATTTGGGAATGGGTTGTCTTTGTTATGTTAATGAAGCAGGATTAGTGTAGGTGTGTTTTAAGTCAGATCTCTTTTGAGATATAAAAGAGATTAAACAAGCAAGCAAAAGAAGCAGAGATGGGTTAAGATTGATGCCAAGCTACGTGGAGATCTCCAGGGAACCAGGAAGCAAGCTGAAGAGACAGGGGCCTTCCCCTAGAGCTGACAAAGACAAGGAGAAAAAGCTTTCCCCTGAATTCTGACTTCCAGCCTCCTAAACTGTGAGAAAATAAATTTCTGTTTGTTAAAGCCACCCATTTGTGTTATTTCTGTTATAGCAGCACTAGATGACTAAGACAGAATTTGATACTAGAAGAATGGGGTGCTGCTCTAACAGATACCTAAAGTATGGAAGTGGTTTTGGAATTGGGTAATGGGTAGAGGCTGGAAGAGTTTTAAGGCACCTAATAGCAAAAGCCTAGATTGCCTTCAAGAGACTGTTGGTAGGATTATGGATGTCACAGACAGTTCTGATGAGGATTCAGAAGAAAGTGAGGAGAGCCAAAGAGAAAGTCTCTAATTAGAGAATACATATCTCTTATTAGAGAATACAGGCAACAGAATGTTGCTAGAAATGTGGACATTAAATGTGCTTCTGGTGAGGCTTTAAAAGAAAATGATGAACCTGTGATTGCACAGTGAGGGAAGGACAGTGCTTTTTATGCAGCGGCAGAGAACTTGTCTGAATTATGTTCAAATATTTGGTGGAAGGTAGAACTTGTAAGTGATTAACTTGGATATCTGGCTGATAAGATTTCTAAGCAAGATCTTAAAGGGGCCGCATGGTTTCTCCTTGCCACTTAAACAGTAAAATGCGAGAGGAAAGAGATGGACTTAAAAATGAACTATGCAAAATGAAAACAAAACTTACAGATTTGAAAAATTCTGCTGTACAAGCTAAGGACATGTGTCCTAGAATGTTCACCAAGGACATGGCTACACGGTCTTTTGTTAAAGAGATTAAGCCTGTGACGGTGGATCTAACCAACTACCCCAGCGGAAAACCCATCAGCTTAGACTGAAGGGGACAGAGAAAGAACAAAAGGAAAGAACGCCGTCTGCCTCTTGGAATTCCGCAGGCAGGAAACATGCCAAAGGAGCTACATCTTTTGTCCTCCAAGAAAAGAAAAGGACCATCCCTGGAGCAGCTCGGAGATCAGCAGAACTGTTGGAAGGAGCACGGGAAGCAGGGCCTTCTCGATTTTAAAGGGTAGGGCCACAGCCTCGTAGGTTTTAAAGAGTTGGATCTTCATGAACTCAGTTCTCGAGTATGGGGCTGTTGTTAAGGTGTGCCACGGGGATGGGACCTCCTGCCCAAAGGTGAGGGGTTGGGGTTGCTATGCCCGAAGGGCAGAAGAACGGGGCCTACCAGGGCCGAGGGGTGAGGTCACGACTCAGATGGACAAGGAGAATGGGGCTGCTGAAAGCCGAGGGAGCAGAGTTGCTGTCCTGGAAGGCAGAGCTAAAGCCCCAGGCTGAGGTCTCCACCCAGAATCCAGAGAGTGGCCAACACCCAGGGTCTGGAGGGAAGAGCTGTCACTTAGATGATCTGAAAGAACAGAGGATTATGTTCAAACCTTGAGAGCTAATGTAAATTGTTCTGCTGGGTTTTGGACCTGCTTGGTGCCTGTTATCCCCTCTTTCCCTTCAGTTACTCCCATTTGTAATGGAAGTGTTTACCTTGTATGCCTGTTCCACCATTGTACTTTAGAAACAGAAAGCCTGTAGTCTAGATTGCAGAGATTCACAGATAAAGAGGAATTTTGCCACAGGATGGAACACACCTAAAATCTCACCCATATTTGATTTAGATGGTTCAGAAGATGAGATTTTGGACTTGGCATTGATTTAAGACTTTTGGGATGATGTGATGGGGTGAATGTGTTTTGTATGTGGCAAGGACATGAAATTTTGGGGGCCAAAGGGTGGAATGTTACAAATTGAATTGTATCCCCCAAAAATGGGTATTGTGAATCCTAATCTCTATGCCTGTGGTTGGAGCCCTGGTGGCGCAGTTCATAAGAACTGCTAACCAAAAGGTTGGCAGTTCAAATCCACCAGCCACTCCTGGGAAACCCCATGGGGCAGTTCTACTCTGTCATATAGGGTCACTATGAGTTGGAATTGACTTGACAGCAACAGGTTTTTTTTATGCCTGTGATTATAATCCCATTTGGGAATGGGTTGTCTGTTATTTTAATGAGGCAGAATTAGTGTAGGGTGTGTCTTAAGTTAATCTCTTTTGAGATATAAAAGAGATTAAACAAGCAAGCAAGAGAAGCAGAGATGGGGTAAGACTGATGCCAAGCCACATGGAGATCTCCAAGGAACCAGGAAGCTAGGTGAAGAGACAAAGACCTTCCTCCAGAGCAGACAGAGAAAGCCTTTGCCTAGAGCTGGCACCCTGAATTTGGACTTCTAGCCTCCTGGACTGTGAAAAAATAAGTTTTATTTGTTAAAGCCATCCACTTGTGATATTTCTGTTATAGCAGCACAAGATAACTAAGACAATGTCCTCCTTACTAAGTCTCTCACTTGCACTTCAGACCTTCTTCTTCCATTTTTTATTTGGCTTCTTTAGGATCTCATGCCTTTTTAGTTTCTCTTTGCAGGCACTTCCTTTTCAGTTCAACTAATTGTTGGAGTATCTTGACCCTCTACTATTCTCTGTGGACACCCTTTCACTAGGCCAGTGTTTCTTAAACTTTGGTCTTAGGACGCCTCTACACACTTAAAAATTTAAGACCTCAAGGAGCTTTTGTTTATATGGCTTTGTCCATCAATATTTACCATATCAGAAATTAAAAATGGAAGGTTTTAAATGTATTGACTCATTTAAAAAGGCCAACAGTAAAATCATTATATGAGTTTAACATAAATAACATTATGTTGACATAATGTTAACATAAATAACATTTTTATGAAAAAAAAGCCTTTTCAGAACAAAATTTAATGAAAAGAGGGGCATTGTTTTACATTTTTGCAAAACTTGTTACTATCTGGCTTGATAGAAGACAGCTGGATTCACATCTGCTTCTGCATTCAATCTGTTGCTATATACTGGTTTGGTTGAAATATGTGAAGAAAATCTGACCTCATATTGATATGTAGTTGGAAAAGGAAGGAGTCTTTTAATAGTCTTTCCAGATAGTTGTGGATATTTTTCTTTGGTATTACACCAAAACTCAGTAAGTAGAAGTTTTTGAAGATTAGTTGCAGTGTAAGATCTGAAACTGTATCAGGTGAACTTTCTTACTGTGTTACATCAAAATCCATTGGTCTGTCATGGTTTGGATATTTTGTATGGTTTTGAAAGGAGTCCCTAGGTGGCACAAATGGTTAAGCGCTTGGCTACTAACCCAAAGGTTCACGGTTTGGGTCCACCCTGAGCAGGCAATTGATTTGAGTTTTCCGTGTTATTGTTTTGAAACATCCTGCATTCCTTATTTGGAAAAATGATGGTTCACTGAATTATACACATCTTCCAAATGTTAACACATTTTATTTTATAATATAAAACAAAATCAGAATTTTTAATATTGTCAGCAAACTCATCAGAAGGGTCTTTAGGTATTGAGAAGTTGTCAAGTTCACAGGGTGAATAAAAAATTAATTTTCATTTGAAATCTTAAATTTGTGATTGGCAACAAATACCATGAGTTGTTTTCCTTGATGTAGGAGACTGGCTTTGTTCATTTTTGAGAAAACGCCTGTCAAATACTCAAGCCTGAAGATCATTGTCTTTCTAGTAAAGATGGTGTTCCATTTTAAAATGTGGCTAGTACAAAAGCACGAGAACTTTTCTTAGAGAGACAACCACTGCACTTCTGTATTAAGCAGAAGCACTTTGTAAGTGTTTTCCAGGTCTTCACACAGAATATTAAAAAGGCATGTGCTCAAGGGTCAAAGTTTAATAAAACTAATAATTTTCACTGCTTTATGAAGGACAGTCCCAAATGAAACTGGCATTTGTTTTTATTGAGTGACGGTGAAGAATATACTGACTGCTGGTGTCATTTGGTGCCACTGCCTGGATTTGTGCTAAAGTACCAGCAGTTTTACCCACCGTTGCTTCTCCACTATAAGCACAGTGAAAAAGGCAAATAACATTGTAGTATTTTTATGAAAATAAGTTTGACCTCTCAGATACTAGAAGGATGCATGGACACACTTTCAGAACTACTGCCCCAGGCGGTTTCATCTGGTCCCAAACACCCGCTGTAGGCCAATGACTTCGAAGTCTAGATCTCTTCCGAGTTCCAGACTCTTGGTTTCAGGGACACCATTCTGATTTCCCTTTTTCTCTAGTCTCCTTTGCTTGTTGTTCCTCGTCTCCTTGATACCTAAACCTCAAGGCTCAGCCCTCCAACCTTTTCTCCACCTTATTCTTTCCCTAAGTAACCTCACCCAGTCCCATGGCTCCATGGGGAGATACTTCTAAATTCAGTTCTCCACCCAGGGTTTCTTCCCTGAGTTCCAGACTCGTCTAGTTGGTAGGAAGCATTCAATAAATGTATCAACACATGCATGAATGAATGCTTGAAGGTTGATTTGGGGGACAGGGAACTGATAGCTGTCATCTGAAACACCCTTCGAAAATATAAATTTCATCACCTCACATTCTCTTTTGCATGTATGTCTCCACATACATCATTTAAGCCCTTGTGAAGTTTCTGTCCCTTGTTTATCAAGAATTTCTGAGTGAGTAGTACTTAAGCATTTTTCCCCTAACTGCACATTATTTCCCCATTAGCGAGACTGGGGGTAGCCAAGAGGCCTTAGCCAAGAAGAAAAGCACAGAAGGCCTGCCTTCTGTGCCTGGTATGTTCTCTGCTGGGGTAGGTTTTCCTTTTTTGCAAATTACCAAGTAAGAATAAAAGGTATATGTTGTGGGTGTACACTTGGTACATTTGGGGACCAGTTATTTCTTGGCTTATTCCTGTGAAATGTTTGTTGTGAAAGACTAAATGTCATAGGAAAGAAATCTGTTTCTATTAACCTTTTCTTAGCAATATTTGTAGAGCACCCCCCCCACCTCTGTTTTTAAAATTGACTCCCAAACTTGTATTTTGGACTTATTGATTACAAGTGTTCTTATTACATAAACTCTGGTCTGCAGATTGTCTCCTATGTCCTTGCCGATAAACAGTGGTAGCTTTTTTTAATCTTGCACTTTAGCACCAAAGTCAACATTTTTCTATGATACAAGACTTATATACTATGTTCTGATCACATCTCTGCTGTCTCAGACCTCTTGTTTTTCCCATCCTGGCAACTGGCATCACCTCCCCACGTGCCCAGGCCAGAAACCCAAGACCATCTCTCTCTTTTTTTTATTTTAATTTTGTTAACTATATAGGTACGAGCCCCTGGGTGGTGCAGATGGTTAAGCACTCAGGTAGTAGCACAAAGGTTTGTGGTTTGAACCCACCCAGAGGCACCTCAGAAGACAGACCTGGCAATCTGCTTCTGAAATGTCACACAGCAGTTCTACTCTCCACACGAGGTTACCGTGAGTCGGAATTGACTTGACAGCAGCTAACAACAAATATATATGTAACAGGACATTTGCTATTTTGCCAAGTTTCATGTATACAGTTTAGTGACATTAATTATGTTCATTGTGTTGTTCAGCCATCACCATTAACTGTTCCCGAATTGTTCAACACCCTTAACAGAAGCTCAGTGTCCCCTAAGCATTGCAAGTCCTCGTTAGGATCTCCCTCCCCACATCCTGCCAGAACTGTTGTCCTATTGATTCTACCTCTCATAAGCTCTTGGACTCTCTTCTGTCCTTTTCATTCCTACTGCTCCCTCCTTAGATCAGGCCCTCACCTTCCTCCCGGGCCACTACAGCCACCTCCTGACTGGTCTTAGGCTTCAGACCTGGAGCTTCCAGTCTGTCCTCTTGCCATAACTGTAGCCCTTGTCAAATCACAAATTTGATCACAGTCCATCCACCACACCCACTCCTCATCCTTTATGGAAGGAGTGACAGTGCTATTTATAGAGTGTCTACTGCAGGTCAAAGGATTTATATGTATTTCTAACTGTTCTAATTTTTATATTACCTCTACAAGGTAGGTGCTGTTCCTTACAGTCAAGGTAACTGATGGTCAGAGATCTTGGATAACATGCCCAAAGGCACAGTCAGAAAGGGACTAAGTCTGGGATAAGAACCCAGGTCTGTCTGTCTGCAAAACCCAATTGCTTTTCCTCTTTTTTCCTCCTCCAATTCCTTGGCATTACATTCAGAGACATTCATGATCTAGCTGAAGTATATATTAAAAAGTTAGATTTCTTTTTTAACAGAATGGTAACTTCCCAAATAAAAGAAATTAAGACTTAACTTTTCATTATGAGAGACATGAATGAGGCTGCATTTCCATCACCCTAGCACATAAAATACTTTAATTCGTGATAGTAAATGGCTAACACTTGCTTCCTACTAGGAACTATTCAAAGTGCTTTACAGTCAGTCCTCATAAAATACATAGACAAAAAAAAATGACCTAATATCAGTAACCTCAACTGGCCTAAATATCTACAAAAGTTTCCTGAAGCAGAAAGAAAAATTACATTAATGAGGGGACTAATATTCAAGATAGTTTATGATGTAAAATAGAGGTCGGTAAACTATGGTCCAGGTTCTTGACCCTCAACATTTTTCTTGTTTTTAATTTAATTTATTTTTTTAAATTGTACCTTAGATGAGGGTTTACAGAACAAACTAGCTTCTCATTAAACAGTTAGTACACGTATTGTTTTATGACATTGGTTAACAACACCACGACATGTCAGTACTCTCCCTTCTCGACCTTGGGTTCCCTATTGCCAGCTTTCCTGTCCCCTCTTGCCTTCTTATACCTGCCCCCGGAATGGTGTCCCCATTTAGTCTCATTTTGTTTTGTTTTACTGTCTAATCTTTGGCTGAAGAGTGACTTCATTACTGAGCTAAAAGGGTTTCTCCAGTCTCTGTCAGGCCAATAAGTCTGGTCTTTTTTTGTGAGTTAGAATTTTGTTCTACATTTTTCTCCAGCTCTGTCCAGGACCCTCTATTGTGATCCCTGTCAGAGCAGTCA